CAGATAATTTTAATTTCTAGAAGATAAACAACAAAAGCAGGCACTTACTGCTATCCGTGTCAGGGATGCCTTGACTGCACTCCATTTGTCCCGTCGTCTGTCTATGATGATGATGAATCCGATGCTGGCAGCCTCCAGACTGCAAAACAGATGAAATAACTATGCTGGGTTACATGGAGATACTACTGTTCCAAGGAAGTGTACTGCAGCAAAACACAGCGACCGTCAGATCACCCTCTAAGCTCATTATGAAAATGCAACATACAGTGGAAAGAATGAATATTTGGCAGAAATTCACATGAAAATGAAAGCCAGCAAATTTTCTCTCTTTTCAGTGTAAGGCTAGCAGCTTACACTGCTACACAAAACATGAATATTTTATCTGCTAAATCTCTCAGCTGCTATGCTACTCTGCTGCCAAATCTAGGTGATATGAATAGTTCAGGATCACAAATTACGCTATGCTGTATTGAAGACAAAAACCTCGGATCTTGTTTTCTCTGCAAAATAATTCAAGTTATTAGACACTCCAGCCTTCGTTCTCCAAGTATGCTGACGTTTGACAGGGGCACTTGGCTCCAGGGAGTCAGCACCTCCCTACTGTCACCACCTTGTCTCTGTACAAAATGCCCCAAGAATTCTGGTAGACAAAGCAGGAACTGAAGAGTTATATCTTGCCAACCACAAACTGGTTCTAGGGTTGCAAGTCATTCAAAGGTATCCTTTTAACACATCGGATAGAATAACAGTTACTGTTCCTTCTCAGCACTGGAACAGGCTGCCCAGGGAGGCTGTGGAGTCTCCTCCTCTGGAGATATTCAAGACCCGCCTGGACAAGGTCCTGTGCAGCCTGCTGTAGGTGACCCTGCTTCGGCAGGAGGGTTGGACTAGATGACCCACAGAGGTCCCTTCCAACCCCTACCATTCTGTGATTCTGTGATTCAAGGAGGATCTATGAGGCACTGATTTCATGCACCATCCTATCTACGTAGACCTCAAAAATACCCCATCCTCTCTCTCTCTCTCAAAAATCCCACTTTCGTGTGGAGGCCTTCAATGGGACCGCTCTGCTCTCTGCCTTCCAAGAGTGCTCAGAGTTGGAGAGAAGTGCTTGGAAGCTAACAAGCACACACTGAGAAAAATCTCCAGAAACTTCATTATAGCAGGATAGCTCAGTCATTTCTGGACAAAATAGAGGCAGGCAGAAAGAGTCTAAATGTTGTCATAGAATCACAGAGTCACAGAATGTCAGGGGTTGGAAGGGACCTCTGTGGGTCATTTAGTCCAACCCCCCTGCCAAAGCAGGGTCTCCTACAGCAGGCTGCACAGGACCGCGTCCAGGCGGGGCTTGAATATCTCCAGAGAAGGAGACTCCACAACCTCCCTGGGCAGCCTGTTCCAGTGCTCCGTCACCCTCAGAGGGAAGAAGTTCTTCCTCATGTTCAGATGGAACTTACTATGCTTCAGTTTGTCCCCATTGCCCCTTGTCCTGTCACTGGGCACCACTGAAAAGAGTTTGGCCCCATCCTCCTGACACCCGCCCTGCAGATATTTATAAGCAT